CCACCAAGCATTGTAGCAGTGATCCAACTTATCCACACTTGACGTAGTGTTGCGCATGTCTCTGGAGGATTTTACGACGGTCTCTTTCTCGTATCACGATACCCCACTTTGTTAAAGTGATTGCACCCTGTCTGCCATTCAGCATGAACAAGCGTTGAAACGCTCTTCCAATTCCTTCACTATGTAAGGCGCACTCCTTATAGTAGTGGGCGCAGTCTAGTCCCGACCTATGTGCTACCGCTGGCAGCCGTCGTCAATGAACACGAAGTAATGAAAGCGAAAGCTGTACTTGGTTAGATCTCTTCTCGTGAAACTGTGCTGTCACCGTTGCTGGAGTCAAGGCTGGTAAAACGAAACACCATCCCGAAGAGTGTTGATCACAATGGCTCCCTACGTACTATGAGGTCGCCATGCTTTAATCGTTGACTCGAACAGTATATTACGTTGCTTGAGCAAGTAATATCATCATCCACTTCTACAGTTGCTACGCAAGCTCCAGACATTTCACTAGCCGCGATGCGTATCTCTCCATCCTTTCCCGTATTGATCGCTCGCGTTCTCCAAGCACTCCTCAGCGCTACCGCCTTCGGCCTTACTATCATGTTGGGTGTTTTTTCTAGTCCTTTTCCAAATATCCTCCGCTTCGCAGCCGGTGTTAGCCTAGCAACTCTACTCGCCGCCCTCTTGACGGCCATCTTCCGTAATTCTTTGCACCCCTGGATCAGGAACACAATCGACGGTGGACTATTGTCACTGAATATGGCCGTGGGCTCGGTATGTTCTCTATCGTATCTTTGAATATCTCTGCGCGGTCACCAGGATTGTTTCACTGACGCTAGTCATAGATGATGGCTTCTGACCGACAGGGCCTCTCATGTGGTGATGAGGGTGCAGACCACAATACCGCTTATCATGGGTACGATAATTGGAATTATAATTCGGCTCTCTGCACATGGTATCAATGTATCACCGCCATGATGCTTTCAACTGTAGCAGTAATACTGTTGATTTGGCTTTTGATCTATGTTGGAACGGAGAAAGGATGGAGGGTCGGTGGATGGAAGATTGAGAAAGTATCGAATCCGTATGAGCTTACTGGGCCTGCCGAGCTAGCTGCCGTGGTACCCATGGTCGCTATTCCAGCCAGGGCACGTCTGCCTTGATTCTTTAAGGCTTTCTAGCTATGACAGAGAATTGGAGTTGTACAAGAAACGATGATACGGAAAGCTCTACCCAAAAGGTACGAAAATGTGATGCACGCACCCTTGGTGTGACTGTACAACATTGTCGTCGCAGAATATGGCAACGACCCGCAAGGCTGTGCAGACATCATGTCAATCTACTTGTACCATGTGCACGCTTCCCCCGCTTGCTTCTTCTTCTGCTACAACATCGTCAACCTCCTCCTACTTCGTCCTTGATCACTTCTCACAATGGCATTCACCAAAACCCTGATACCTTCGTCCATTCTTCGTGCTCTCCAAGCACTCTTCGGCATTATCGTCTTAGGATTATCCGTAACACTCATCAGAGGCCATAATCCTCTTCATTGGACCATAACCAAACTACCCACCCTTCTTCCCTTTTCGGCGGCCATCGGTGGTCTTACTGTTGCCGGCGCTCTTCTAGGCTTCGTGCTATCATGGACAGAGTTCTTACGGGGATTCTTCGAAATCATTCTCGACATTGCTGTCCTACTCGCCAATCTCGTTGGCGGCGTGGTACGTCATCTCATACTTGATGCAGCTATGGTCGCGACTGGGTCGCATTTCAGGGAAGGAACGCTGACCAAACACACAGCTCATAGCCATGCGACTCAAGGGCTCAAACTGTTATGACGAGAACGATCAAAACAGGGTCGGTAACGGTCGATACCCTTTCGAAGGCAGCCTTGCCAGCGTTGACATCCTGAATGGCGGATGCAAAAATCGGGATGGATTTGGCATCTGCTACTATGCCAGCTATGCCGACCAGAAAGCCAAGCTCAATACTCGGTGCAGGCAAAGCCAAGCAGACTCGGTCTTCATGTTCTTGACAGTCATAGTCCTATTTGCGGTACTGACTTTGACGTATCTGCGCATAAAGAGGACACATTGAAGCCAGATTGAGCTGGCTGGTTGTATTGGTTGTAAGGTGGTGAGACCTACACTCGAAGACGAAAGCGCATGTAGCCAGAGCAGATTCACAAAGACGAGAAGCCAATGTAATGTAATATCATGTTCCAATTCAATCACTCACTAAACGTGCACACTGCCGTCCAAACTCCTGTTCTCTTACTTCGCAGCCGCATCAACGCCTCGCACGTCCGTTCAGTCTCTGGGTATCCGCTTCTCTCAAACCCCCAACTACGCCATCTCATACAGAGACATCGTTCATGGCTTAAACTGGGCAAGACTGTAGCACAAATTAGCTGTGTTCTGCCTACGCAATGTGTTCCAGTATCTTACGCTGCCGCAAGATCCACAGGTCTTGGCATCGCCGCTAATAGTAGAGCCGCACTTTGGGCAGTCGCTGTGGAAGTTGACAAGTTCGATTGTGGACTGCATGTTGACTGTTTGCTTTGCTTCTGCTGGGTTTCTTTTGTGTAGAATGTTGCGATGTCGTGGAATAGTAGATTGCTGATAGAAGATGGAAGTTGGAGGGGTAAAGTGGGGTTGATATACAGAGCTTCTGCAGGGCCAGGCAGCTACCTCAAGCCGAGGCGGCTAGTGCATATGCCGTCAGATGACTGGCACGCGGTAAATGCGGTGGACCTTGCGATTGGAGGTGAGGGGGACGCGTGGGATGGGTGGTTCGCCATACGGGCGGCAAGGGAGACGGCTGCGTCCGATAGGAAGGAAGTAAGTGGAGTAAGTTGAGAAAGACCGAGGACCTCGAGGTATAGTTCCCTTCCCTATCATTTGATGGGACGAAAGGCCGAGAAGAAACTCTAGACAAGCTTCTGATTATTACCTACAGACCCTACCTAACATGGCAGATGACCTGTCCGTTGATAACAGCGAACCAGCCATCCTCCTTCTTCTCCATTTCCCTCCACGTCGCTGCGATCTCTTCCAGATCCTGCTCCGTGGCATATCCACTGTCCAGAGCCCGCTGTTTGTAGTCGCTTTGCACCGTCCGATCGGCCCAGAGTCCGCACCACCACTGTCGCTCTTCCGGTGTGCTGAATGTCCAGGCGGCTACGCTAGCCTCGATGTCGCTTCTTGGGAAACCCGCTTGCAAGGCTATCGCATGCAGGTACTTGCCCATGTTCGGATGTGCCTTGAGCCCGAACGCGATTTTGATGTATAGTTCCTTCCACTTCTGCATTCCTGGATGCTCTGGGTACCAGTCCATGGCGCTGTAGTTGCAATCTCGGACTGCGACGATACCGCCTGGTTTGGTCAAGCGCTTCATTTCCTTCATCGCACCCAGCGGATCTTGTAGATGCTGCAGCACTTGATGCGCATGTACAATATCGAAGCCTGCCTCATCTACGCCATCGAGCTTATTCCATTCATGTATATCCCCAGTCTCGAACCGTATGTTTGTGATGCCCTTTTCCTCCGCGTGTTTTCGCGCCTTCTCGATGACTTCGGTGGAGGGATCGATGGCATAGACGAAGCCTTGTGGGACGCGCGCAGCAAGGTCGACGCTGATAGTTCCCGGGCCGCAGCCCACGTCGAGGATCTTGAGTGAAGGGTTGTTGAGGTAGGGGAGGAGGTGTGGACACGAGTTCTCGACAGTACGCCAGCTGTGGGAGCGGAGGACGGATGCGTGATGGCCGTGAAGGTATGGTCCTGACATCGTTGCTAATTGAGGTAATCGTGGTAATCGTATTGAAGCTCTAGTGAGTAGTAGTCAATTGAGGGTGTAGTGTGTAACTCAAGCAACGGAGAACCAGAGCGTTGTTATACGAACAGTCGTTCCTGCAGCCTGTGTTAGTCGCGGAGTTAGTTGGACATAACGCGTGTGCAGTCGGAAATAACGTGTACAAGTATCTCATACTCCGAAGTCGGTGTCAAAGCACTCTGGCTTTTCGTATACACGTTCGAGAGCCAGGATGGGGTGACAATGGAGGGGATGGTTGACAGGCGGCACCAGGGCATCTCCAAGTCCGAGCATCGGCCATCTCGGTACCATTGCTTAGTCACCCATTCGATCGGCCCACCTCCATACCTCCACCATCTACTCCAACATCTCAAAGGCCAAGTCGCGCATTGCCAGAATGTGTACAAGGCACAACGCGTACCCAGCATGCGTCTCACAGTACAATCTAACACCATGTAACCCTGGTCGCCCCAGCCATCCACCAAAACACCAACCACCCTAGTCCCAAAACAGACAATGGTAAATCCTCCCCAAACCTCACAATCAGGATATTACCCACACATTACACACGCGCGCGCATACTGCCGTACGCCTGCTTTTGCGCATAACCTCACCGTCGGGTCAACTCGGTCCCACTGCAACCAGTATCTCATCCTCAAGTTACCGCATCGAGTAGGTCTTGTCGCAAACCGTGGATTGCGGGAAACGTGCATTGTCCGTTTTGGATGTGGTCGGCATGTATGTTTTGGGTAGCGCTGCATGTGTTCATGCATGGAATATGGACTGGTGGGTTTGTGGTAAGGACTGCGTGAGCATATACGCGGGAGGGGGTTTGACTGGTGCGCGAGGGATGGATGGCTGATGGGGCGGGGTGACGGATGGGGTAATGGGGAGCGAGGGGACAGGGGATACATATTGGAGAGTGGTAGGCTAATTGGGACTGTATAGTTGTATCTTGGTTCTTTGCGACGAAGGTTGTGAAAAGAGGCAATTGTACAGAATGGTAATGCGTATGCTAAGCTAATCGCAGGAGATAACATGATACTAAGAAACGGGAAACGTATTTTTTCGTACCAAAGAGGTGAGGGTGGTAGTACAAGCCCAAGCGAACCACAAGTAGGACAAAGAACGACCCAAGCAATGCCGCAGTACCCATTAAACCATCAAACACCAACTCGCGAAACATGCAACTACCTCCTCGAAAATCTACCATCAAATGAATCAGCCTCGCGATCATACCCAGACAAACTCTTTCGTCTCCGTCCGCCCTCGGCGAGACTAGCACTCCTCCGACTCCCCTTACTTCTCACCGAAGTAGAATATCCAATGCCGCTGTCCCTCCGACTACCCGGCTGCTCAATGACCTCCACAATATCCTCCTCATGCTTGAGCTGCCGGGTATCGTGATCATCCGAGAGATGCTTGATAAGAGCCTTGACGTCGCCGCAGATAGTATCCGAGTCGGCGTACTTGGAGCAAATAACGCAGCAATATTGGCCGTCAGGACCATCACGATGACACTTGACGACGAAGCGGTTCTGGACCTGGAAGGTTCGTTCTGTGTCGTCGGCCCATTTAGAGATTTCCCATGCTTTTCCTGGTGAGAGGTGTAGTTCGCCTCTGCAGTGTGGACAGTAGGGGTCCCGGTCTGATGTTATGCTGGTGGCAAGTTGTTGGGTTGGGTTCCGTTGAAGGTCGTATGCGTAGACGCAGTATAGGTTGTTAGAGGCTGAGATCATCGTGGGTCCGGTTACGGAGGTGGCATCGGTGACTGATTGCTCTGGCTCGACGTTATCTCGCCATGCGAGCACTGTTGTGTTGACAGGGCTGCTACTTCGCACGTGTGAACTCCGGGATCGTGGTTCCGGATACTTCATCAGAGCTGTGGATGCTGAACTCATACTAGCACCAGACTGAGGCAGTGTCAACGCGCGCGATGGTGCATGTGATTGCATGTGCGAAGGCGCATGCGAAGGTGCCTGGGACATGATGTGGGATGGTGCATACGGCGGTGCCTGGGATCCTGTCAAAGACTTCGCACGAGATCGCGTACGGGATGTCACGTGTGACGGTACATGCGATGGCGCATGGGAGGTATGATGAGATGAGACGTGCGATGGCGCATGAGAAGTATGGTGGGATGGCGCATGCGAAGGCGGGCGCGATGGATGATGTGACGATACATGTGAAGGCGCATGCGATGTATGGAGGGTCATTGCTTGTGATGGCGCATGCGACGGGCTCGAACGTGCCGTAAAAGAGTGCATCGACCTTGGTGTAAGCGGCCTCTCATCTTGTTGACGTTCCTGCAACGCAGCCAATATCTCGACCGACGTCGCAGCTGCTACTCTGGATGCCGCATTGATGTTGGCTAGCTGATGGGCGATGGTGTCGCCTGATGTGGGCCCGTATAGGAATGTGGTGACTAGCACGCTTTGGAGGGTAATGATCTGTGACTGGAGGGCTGTATGCGCGGTTACTGGTAGTGACTTGTTAGCTGATAGGTCTCATAGGGTTCAGAAGAGGAAGAGCACGCATACCATCGCCCATGGCGAACTCGGCCCCCAGAGTTTCACATCCGATATCCATCTGCCTCATGACTACAGCTTTGTCCGTCACGATAGCCTCATCGCTACCCAGCCGGTCATCCTTCACATATTCGATCCGCCTCGAAGCAGGGTATCCTTTGCTGCGCAGGTTTTGTTCATAGTCTCTTTGCTCCTTGGCCGTGAGCGTCCCGTAAAGATCCCTCGTGGCATCAAAGACATCCAAGAGTGTGTTCACGAGCGACTGCACGACATTCGCGGGATCTTCGGGAGGGTTCTGGGGTCGGTCGTCAGTACGCCCATTCATCGAACAACATGCCTTGCTTGCATATATACGGGCCGAATAGGAGGTATGCTTACTATGACAGCGACGCTCATGATCAGACTTTGCTGTTTTTTACTTGTTGTCGTTCCGGTTCCTGCTTCCTGCCGCACCGTACTTCCCTGATATGTATAAGACAGAAACAAACCTGACTCGCAGTCGAAAGGGGAGCTGAGCGTAGCGAAACTAAAGTAGTTTAAAACTAAGAGCTGAAGCCTAAGAAGTCACGTTCTAGGCACCACCACATAGGGGTCCTCTGTTACCTATACAAAACGTCCCACGCTCTCCAACCCACAGACCCCTTTGAATAAGCTCCGCAACGGATTGCTTCCCCACTCAAGCCCTACTTTGTTATGAATCGCCTCATGCTTGATGATGGCTTGGACAGCTGGCAGGGCGCCATTGGTGCTGAGCGCACCTTTGATTGGAACATCCACCGCTACGGGCCGCGCCAGGAACGCGCCCGCATGGAGCTTGACGTCATTCTCCAAACGTAGCGCCACGCCGATGGGAATAGTGGGTGTGACTTTAGTGCCAGTGCGCGGGATGGATGCGTCGTATTACTTCTCTGGGTCGCGGTGGAGATGATAAGACCCAAATGCGGGTATAACGCCTTGTGTCATACTCAAACGGGTCCATTGTACGGGTGGGTTTTGCCCACGGTCTCGACGTTTCTGAATTTTTACCTACATGCAACATGATGTAGGGTGGGAGCGGTCTGGGGAGTCGCAAACTATTGAAGTGACTGTATCGTGCATGTCGCTCGAGAGCGTGCATTGGGACGCGCTGGTTGCGCTTGGGAATGCGGTGTCGGAACACGTCATCGGGCGCGAGCAAAAGCGCAAAACGCGACCGAGCTATGTACGCGCCTCCCGCGACGATGCTGCTCGGGTATGGATGAGAACGGTCCTTTTTGGATCGCGGCTCTGTTTTGGGCGCCATCGTGTGATCGGGTGCGAGAGTAACAGTGTGACTAGGGGTTGGGATCGTGGCAGGCTCTCGATCATCGCCGGCTTAGCGTGGTACTAGCGCTGGATGCTCGTGCTGCCGGCCTCACAACATCGGGGTCAGACACCGGAAGTCGTAATATCCATACGAATTTACATGCAGAATGAATACAGCATTAAGTTTATGACCGGAAGATCTAGTATGCAATTAAGGGTCACCCGCTGTCGGCGTTGGTAAAACGTTCACCTAGTACAGATACAGTCAGCTAATACACCACAGAGCACAGCCGAGGAGTGCGACTAAGCCATCATATTGACACGACCAACATGTCAGCCTCGAATATCCGTCTGTTTAGTTATAAGACACTGTCGTGTAAGGGACACACTACTGCGATACATAGTCATGCTTGCCCAGCACGAGCGGTGAGTCTAGGACAGCCAGATCCCGACACCTTCAAAGACACCGAGAATGTACCACATGCCTCTTCTACCACCTCAAAATCTGCCAGGGACGGTATAGATTTGCGTTTAGTTGCATCGTCTAGCTCCCCCGAAGACGAGCAGAGACAGATTGTTGCCATCCCAGTGACGCTCTCGGAAGCCTCCGACTCCCAGAACCTTGCTTCACTCTGCAGATTCCTCCGGCTCAACACTCCTACTCTTGCTATCTTCGAGGCTCTTCTCTTTGATAAACCACGCAAAGATAGCGCTCCCTGCAACAAGCACAATGCCTACACATAATGCAGCCCTAGTAGCCCTTCCGTAACACTCCCGGACGATGCTCTTGAGTGCCGGATCCAGACCCCTGTAGTAAGCCAATCCAGCCCTGACACGCTCCGCAATCTCAGCCGCATCGTCACCCTGCAGCTTTTCCTGGAGAGCTTTGCGGAGTGTCTGGTTAAACGCCGTAGCGCACATGGAAACACCGAAGACTGACCCGAGAGAGCGGAAAAGGTAGGAACAAGCGGTGGCAACGGCTTGGTCGGTGTGGGAGGCATTCGCGATGAGGCCGATGAGTGTCGTCGTTACTCCTGTGCCATTGCTAAAAGAGCATATGCATGTAGCCACCACCATCGCGGGTAAGCTCTCGGTTAATAGGCCAGCGAATAGGAGGATGAATGAGAGCCCGATCGTGAGGTTCGTATACGCCATGACGGTGATCCAGTAGTACTTCGCTGTACGCCTCATGTAAAAGCCGCTGAAAAGCGAGCCGCTAACACCAAAGATGATGGAAGGGACAAGGAACAGTCCAGCTTTGGAAGCGCTGTAGTCGCCCATGACCTGCCAATAAAGCGGTATGAAGAACAAGGCAGCCAACCATCCCCCGAAAGAGAAGAAGTTGCAAAGATAGCATGCGAAAAGCGTCTTGTTGAGGATGATCCGGCCTGGGGCGAAGGGATGACTTGCGACGTACTTCTCGACTAGCACGAAGACGACGAACAGCGGCGTAGATGCGAGACCGACGATGGTGATGGGGTTACCCCAGGATACGTTGGAGCCGCGATCGAGACCGACAAGTAAACCGAAGACGGCGAAGATCAGGATGACCGCGCCTAGGAAGTCTATCCTCTTGATCTTCTCTTTCCAGTGCGAGTGGTCTTGCTCTGGGAGATCAAGCACCAATGACACAGCAATGAAGGCCGCAGCGCACATCGGACCTTGCGCCAGGAATGCCCTGCAGAGGTAGAGGTACGAAGTCAGTACACGTCTCACATGCATTTCGTACAGACAGGACTTACCATCGCCATCCAATGCTATCCGCGAGTAACCCACCAAGAGGCGCACCAGCCGAAGCACCAAAAGCGTAGACCAAGTTGACATAGCCCCTAAATTTGGGTGTGTGAAGTCAGTGTATGCGTCACACGCACTTCGTACGGAAAGACTTACTGCCACTGCCCCCTCTCCCTCAAGCCCACGATATCACTCAACAAGATACTCGTGCACACACTCATACCGCCACCCCCAATCCCCGCAAAAGCCCTCGCAGCAACCAACTTCAGAAGTGAGGACACGAAGTCAGTGTATATATCATGTGCGTGTCGTACATGTACGACTTACCTCACCGATGGTCCTCGCAAGCCCACACCCCACACTCCCAACCCCAAAGATCAAATACGCAGACAACAGACATTGTTTTCTTCCAAAGATATCAGAAAGTTTTCCATACAGCGGCTGGAACGCAGATAGCGTGAGGAAATACCCCGTCGCAATCCAGGAGGTAGAGGACAGGGCGTGTAGATCTGTGCCGATGGTGCCGTAGGTGGTTATTACGAGGGTTTGGTCGGCAGAGGAGAGGAAAACCTGTCAGTTCACTCATTAGTTTCGATAACTTTTGGGGAACAACAAGGTATGAAGGGATTATACGAAAGGTTTACTTACACCAATAGCAATAGCAGGAAAGATATATTTCATCCTCTTCCTGACTTCAGGCAGGCCCTGGTGTTTAAACGCGTCGCCATGGCTGACTTGTCGTTCTATATCTCCTCCATCTTCTGCGTGCAGTCCTTCTGGTGCGATACCAGTTTCTACGACATTTGTCTGCGCGTCTTCCGTGGGGTTTGGTAAGAGTGGGGTGGTTTCATGCGCAGGGACATGCTCGTCGCGTGGGAGATTCGGCGTCATTGCGGCGGGGTCGGGATGGTTGGCATGCAACGGCGAGACGCTGGATATCGCTCAAGACATGGAAGAGTGTGAAAGCGAGCTTTAGCTATAGCTCTTTGACGCGCAAGTATGACTCTTCAGAGTTGTCATGGCGATGATCGGTAAGCTTCAACGCGTTGTTGCTGGGACAATTTTCATAGGCCGCGTTATGTCCGCAGGGCGTAGTGGGGCTGGATCAGATAGGCAGGTCGTTCGATGGATCACGGGAAGTCGCGATATCACGACCGCGTTCACAGATAAAGAGGATGCAGCTGCAGAAAACGTCGAGTCGCTAATGTACAGAATAGACTACAGTAACTATGATACTTCCGCAGACCGGACCATGCATAAACCGGGAATGAGGTATGGAATGCACATTTCATAACGACTATCATTAATCGCAGCGATTTCATTGCGGTATACCGACAAATTAAGCGGGTTGGTATTTCCTCAGCTGTGGTGAGATTAGCGAACAGTACATAGTCAGTTGGAGGAAGGAGCAACTTACATCTAGACTCAAGTACTTGCTCGTCATCTTGCCTTGGTCCCGCATAACACCGACCAACGTCTCACTCTCCTGGAAGAAGCCTGCCTTCAAAGAGATAACAATGAATTGCATACCGGGGCTAGCATGCTCGCGCACATACTTAGCCACTCTGCTGACATTGACGTTGTCTAATGCGGCATCGACTTCATCGAGGACGAAGAACGGCGAAGGCTGGTAGCTGTGGATGGCAAAAAGCAGAGCGAGCGCGGCAATCGTCTTCTCACCACCAGATAGATGCTCCATGTCGCGGAAACGCTTGAGCGGTGGCATGGCGTGGTATTTGAGACCTGCGAGGTACGGCTCCGAGCTATCTTCCATGTCGAGATATGCTTGTCCTCCAAGCGGAAACTGTGGCGACTTGGTCAGGTCCTTGTAGGTACCACCGATGTTCTCGGAAATATGGTTGAAAGCCTTCATGAAGAGATCGTAGCGCTTGGTCTTGACTTCTTCGAAAGCCTTCTTTGCAGCAGCGGCGCGCTTGCGCGTCTCGGCGAATGCTTCGTCGACGGCTTTAAGGCGCGCTTCTGTTGCAACGAGACGTTCAGCAGCGCGCATGTTGGGTGTAGCCTTGTTGATTTCGGTCTCGAGGTTCGTGATCACGTCGGACAACTTGGCTTCTGCAGCCTTGAGCAGATTGCCCGCTTGCGATTGCACGCGCTCATCTGGGTCGTCCTCCTGCGCGGCGTTAGTACAAATCATATAGACGTCGACTCTGGCACTTACACTCTCAAGTATCTCAACAACCTCCGTCTTCAGCTCGTCGTCGAGCTGTTCAAAGTCGACTTCGATGCCATAGTCATCCACCTCCGCAGCCTGTATCTGGGTCGAATCAGGGTCCTCGTCAATGTCCATAGCGTCTGCGTCCGCGTCGGGCCGCGGCATATCAGTCATGGGTAGGGACGTCAGCGGTTTAGAGTCTTCC